TTGAAGAAAACTATATAATTGAGATATAAAAACTACGATTTCTTGATGGGCATTTTAGAAAAAATTGAAAATAAATGTAAAGTCAAAGTCCGTAGTAAGCTTTCGTTTAGATTGTCTTTTCCTCTCTCTTCCATTTGTAAAAGTTCTATTTCTTGCCTATTGTTAGGTTGAGTGAATTAACATAACACAATATTAGAGAGAAAGAGAGGTTATAAACTAAACCTAGCTCTCATATATCACTTGTATTTATAGTTAACCTACAGTAATAATAATTACACATACACCCTCTTACTATTAACAATTTACACATACTACCCTATTATTCTTAACACTCCCACTCAAACTGGACTATATATATCATATAATCTTAAGCTTTGAAAAAATAGCTGTAAAACGTGTACGACTCAAAGCTTTGGTAAACATATCTGCAAGTTGATATTCAGATTTCACAAATGTAGTAATCTCTNCCCTATTATTCTTAACACTCCCACTCAAACTGGACTATATATATCATATAATCTTAAACTTTGAAAAAATAGCTGTAAAACGTGTACGACTCAAAGCTTTGGTAAACATATCTGCAAGTTGATCTTCAGATTTCACAAATGGAGTAGTAATCTCCCCAGCTACTATCTTGTCCCGAATAAAGTGACAGTCAACATTAATATGCTTGGTTCTCTCTTGAAACACAGGATTAGCAGCGATATGGATAGCTGTCTAGTTGTCACAGAACAACTGTAAAGGAAGTTGAACTGGAAACTCAATTTTCTGGAGGAAGTGTAGTAGTCAAGTCAACTCACTCGTCGTATGTGTCATTGTCCTATACTCAGCCTCAGCACTAGATCTTGCTACTACGAGTTGTTTCTTACTTTTTCATGAAACAACATTAACTCCTAAAAAAGTACAATAACTAGTGGTTGATCTCCGATCAGAAGATGAGCCAGCCCAATCAGTATCTGAGAAACCTTCCNACATTAACTCCTAAAAAAGTACAATAACTAGTGGTTGATCTCCGATCAGAAGATGAGTCAACCCAATCAGTATCTGAGAAACCTTCCACTCTAAAATGTCCATTAGTTCGATATAACAGTCCAAGTCCAGGAGCTTGTTTGAGATACCACAGAATACGAGTAACTGCCTCCCAATGTGGTACTCTAGGACATCCCATAAACTGACTTACTATACTGACTGCATAGGAAAAATCCGGTCGAGTAATAGTGAGATAATTAAACTTCCTAACTAATCTGCGATACCGACTCGGATTCTCAAACAATACACCATCATCCATTAATAATTTCTAATTCGGATCCATAGGAACATCAATCGGTCTACCATCCAGCAAACCTGTTTTCTCAAGCATGTCAAGTACATATTTCCTCTGAGATAAACAAATACCCTGTTTAGATCGAGTCACCTCAATACCCAAGAAATACTTGAGTTTTTTCAAATCTTTAGTATAAAATCGATCCTGTAAGAATATTTTTAACTTGNCACTTCCGTCGATGGGCGAGGACAACGAGAGTAGACACGGAGAGGTAAAGCAGATGGTAACACAGTGGATAAGGAAATATCTGAAGATAAAGAAACAGATAGTGGTACAAGAGAGGACCCAAAGTCCAGATTCAAAGGCTGAGAAGGTATTGAAAAGTATGGAACAAATTCTTCAAATGTGACATCCGCACTAGTAAAGTATCAGTGCAGAAAAGAACTTTAGCAACGATACCCCTTCTGCATGCGGGAGTAACCAAGAAATACACATTTGGTAGCTCAAGGGTTAAGTTTGTCAAATTCAGGACCCAAATTGTGAACATAACAGACACAACTAAAAACTTTAGGAGTCAGGAAAAATAAGGGCTTACCAGGAAAAATGACAGAATATAGACTTTGCCCATTTAACACAAAGGAGGACATACGATTAATAAGATGACAAGCAGTAAAAACAACATCACTCCAATAATATCGGGGAACATTCATTTGGAATAATAGGGCACGGGTGACTTCTAACAAAAGACGGTTCTTGCGTTCAGCAACATCATTTTANAGCTCAAGGGTTAAGTTTGTCAAATTCAGGACCCAAATTGTGAACATAACAGACACAACCAAAAACTTTAGGAGTCAGGAAAAATAAGGGCTTACCAGGAAAAATGACATAATATAGACTTTGCCCATTTAACACAAAGGAGGACATACGATTAATAAGATGACAAGCAGTAAAAACATCACTCCAATAATATCGGGGAACATTCATCTGGAATAATAGGGCACGAGTGACTTCCAACAAAAGNAGGATAACATACGATTAATAAGATGATAAGCAGTAAGAACAACATCACTCCAAAAATATTGGAGAATATTCATCTAGAATAACAAGGCACGAGTGACTTCCAACAAATGACGGTTCTTGCGTTCAGCAACACCATTTTGTGGAGAGGTGTAAGCACAAGAAGTCTGATGAATAATGCCAATTTTACTAAGATAAGCTGAAAAAGGATCATATTCATATTCCTGAACATTATTGGAACAGAAAGTACGTATACGATNGGAGAGGTGTAAGCACAAGAAGTCTGATGAATAATGCCAATTTTACTAAGATAAGCTAAAAAAGGATCAGATTCATATTCCTGAACATTATTGGAACAGAAAGTACGTATACAACAACCAAACTGAGTTTTTATTTATTTACGAAAAGTCTCAAATATAGAGAATAATTCAGACCGAACTTTCATAAAAAATAACCAAGTTACACGAGAATAGTCATCAACAAATATCACAAAATAAGGATATTTAGATAAAATATTCTTTATTGGACCCCATACATCAGAATGGACTAGACACACGATTATTGACTCTAGACTGAAATGATACACGAAGATGCTTACTAAGTTGACAAGCTTCACAAGACAAAGACGACACATAACTAAGACTGAGAACTTGACGCTTCAAATTCTGGAGAGAGGGATGTCCAAGANAACCAAACTGAGTTTTTATTTATTTACGAAAAGTCTCAAATATAGAGAATAATTCAGACCGAACTTTCATAAAAAAATAACCAAGTTACACGAGAATAGTCATCCACAAATATCACAAAATAAGGATATTTAGATAAAATATTCTTTATTGGACCCCATACATCAGAATGGACTAGACACACGATTATTGACTCTAGACTGAAATGATATACGATGATGCTTACTAAGTTGACAAGCTTCACAAGACAAAGACGACACATAACTAAGACTGAGAACTTGACGCTTCAAATTCTGGAGAGAGGGATGTCCAAGATGACAATGCCATTGAAAAGGAGACAACGAGGTCTATAGAGCTCGGGTAGGTGAATCAAAGTCAAGGTAATATAGGCCACCAGCTTCATACCCCGTACCAATCTTCCTCTTCGTCTTGAGATCCTGAAAGATACAATAAGATGGATAAAAAGTTACAGAACAATTGAGGAAACGGGTAATCTTACTAATGAAAAGTGAATTAAAAAGAAACTGAGGAACAACTAATNATAGGCCACCAGCTTCATACCCCGTACCAATCTTCCTCTTCGTCTTGAGATCCTGAAAGACACAATAAGATGGATAAAAAATTACAGAACAATTGAGGAAACGGGTAATCTTACTAATGAAAAGTGAATTAAAAGGAAACTGAGGAACAAATAACATGAAAGATAGGGACATATCAGGACTCAAGTGAGTAGTCCCCAGACCTGAAACTTTAGAACAAGTACCATTAACAAGAATAACACTATGTGTAGAAGTAGCAGACTAATAAGTAGAGAAAACGTCAGACGCACCAATCATGTGGTCAGAGGCGCCAGAGTCTGTAATCCAAGGACTACGAGTGGAGGACAATAAACAGGTGGAAGCAGTACTTGACTGGGCAAAAGTAGCAGTGGAGGGAGATGAAACAGCCTGTTGCTGGGACAGGAACTGAGCATACTCCTCTCGACCCAGTGTAACAGTAACCGACCTAGTGTCTGGTGGAGTTGACCGAGGTATAGAAGCAACAACAGAGGTGTCATCCTGATAAGAAACCTGATTAGCAGTACCAGAAGGTTTTCCATATAAATTCCAACAAAAATCAACAGTGTGTCCTCCACGGCCACAGTGAGTATAGGAACGGGATCCACTATGACCTCCACGACCACCCGTACGACCTTCATAACCTCCACATCCACCTCGATGACCATCACTATGGCTATTAGGAACCACAATAGCTGAGCGATCAGTGGAGACACCATGATCAATGACTGAAGGAGTAGACAATGTAGCACGCTGTAAACGAGAGAAAACCTCTGGCAGTGATGAAAGACTAGATCCACCCAAATCTGAGAACGAATAGCCTCATATTCAGGTTTCAATCCTACCAAAAATCTAACAACATTCAAGTCCTCATGTTGCTCTTACCAAACTGCGGCATCAATAGTAAACGGATGATAAGTCTTCATCTCCTCACAGACTCCCCGAACATGAGAGTAATAATCCGCAAGGTTCAGAGTATCTTGCTCCAACCGGAAGTACTCCTTGCACACCTCATACGCACGGGTAAAATTACCTGTACCAGAATACATAGTAGCCAAGTGATCCCATATCTCTTTGGTAGTATCAAGATAGAGCAGAGAAGAGCTAATACTGGCCTCTATGTTATTCAACAATAAAAAAATAATCTAACCATCCTCTTGTTCCCACTGATTATACCCAGGAGTGTCTTCCTTGGGTTTAAAACCCACCAGATATTTCTTAAATCTTTTGCCTCGAAGAAAGACTTGAACAGATCGAGACCATAAAGTATAATTAGTCCTATTAAGTTTGACAGAGGTCATGGGACCATTGATAAGAGTCGGAGGAGGCAAAGATGGAATAAGGGACCTAGTATCTTGTTTGGGTTCCATAATAGTGCAGCAAATAACAAACAAGAAGTGTGACAATACTAAACCAGAAAAAAAAAAATTGAAAGACTGAACCAGACTGAAAAGAGGGGCTGGACCACTGAACCGGTCAAGCTAAGCTCTTTGGAAGACTGAATCGGACTGAATTAAGCTCCTGGATTGTTGAACCGGCCGAGGAATGGCCACTGGACTGCTGAACCGGCCAAGAAATGGCCATTGGACTGCTGAACCGGCCAAGGAATGGCCACTGGACTGCTAAACCAGCCAAGAAATGGCCACTGGACTGCTAGATTGGAGAAAGATCAGATGGGACAGATCTGAACCAGTGTACCCTTCATTGAATCGGGACTGAACCGATGTAAATCTTACTAAATTAGGTTGAATCGGGACTGAACCGGGTTAAACCGATTCTGGACCAGGCTGTTCTAGATTTTTCACTAGATCTGGGCTTAGCCACCCAAACCTGACCCAGGAGATTGTCTTATTCCCAAACAAACCCTAATGCTCCTCACTATTAACTGCGCTTGGTATCCAACAGCACCACCACGCAACCACAAGACACAAACGGCACACCCAAACCTATTCGACTACCACCATAGCCACCAGTCGACTGCGACTGCCACCACCACTACCAGACAACCACTCCACAGTGCTTGAACGAGACACCACCAACGTCAATCTCCTTGTTACACTCAACCATCGACGATGACGATAGTAGGCATGACGACAACAACAAAAAACCCTTGATTTAATGTTTAGATTTAAAATTGTTTTGCTTTGATACCATGTTAAGTTGAGTGAATTAACATAACACAATATTAGAGAGAAAGAGAAAGGTTAAAAACTAAACATAACTCTCATAGATCACTTGTATTTATAGTTAACCTACATAAATAATAATTACACATACACCCTCTTACTATTAACAATTTACACATACTACCCTATTATTCTTAACACCTACAAAAAAAATAAACTGTTAAGCCTACCTAATTCTAAGCTTAGGAGAACAATTGAAAAGGTGTTGAAGGCTTACAAGAACAAGGTTGATAAGTTGAGGACCATGTTTGATCAGCAGAATGACGAGTTTGGATAGTTATAGATAGATTTAAGTGAATATGAGAAAATCTCAACCAATGCAGATGTATCTCACCCAATCAAGAGGTGCATTTTAATGGCATGGAGAATGGCACCCAAGAGTTGGAGTACTAAACAGAGAATTATCTGGGAATAGCTCTGTTAAAATATAAATACTTAAGTTATACCCTCTTTATCGGTTTAAACTTTTGGAGTAGATGGTTGTTTAATATGGCATAAGCACAGGAGGTCCTGTGTTTCAATTTCGTCGCCACCCTAATTATTAAAAAAAATTTCACGTGTTAAGCCCAAAATCTAACCAGCACGTGAAAGAGCCGGTTGAATTATAAATACTTACGTTACACCCTTTTCAATAGCTTAAACTTTTGGAGTAGATAGTTGTTTAACAAGCTCAAAACGAACAACTATAGTTGGACTAACCCAACTGATTCATTTTGTCAAGAATTGTAAAGTGTTGTTGTAACAACCCAACACAGTCACCAGGACCAGCCCAACTAATGGCCTAAAGCTAAAAATGTGTTTCAATAGAATTAGGTCAAGTTTTTAAGGGTATTTTGGGTATGGAACATATCAAAGAGTTTAAGTGGTCTACAAGGATTTACAAGGAGACAATAAATGTATGTGCCACATTTTTCCATGCATTATGACAAGATAGTACACACGCACACACATGACATATATCTCAAAGCGTTTTGTCAACCTTGTGGGAGGAAAAGTGCTATCGAAAGATTGAGTGAGTTCTTGAGAGAAACTACCATATATCTAGTGTTATTTAAGACGTAAAGCGAACCGAAGCGACCAAAGCTCCTAACGCCTAGGCGAGAAGCGAGAAGCGAAGCGACACGCTTTATCGAAGCAAAGCGAACAATTAAAAAAAATATATATTTTAGTTTAATTACTTCTAAACAATCTAAGTTCTAATTTTATATAAACTAAATATTTAAATGCAAGTAAAACCATAAACATTTAAATTAAAACAAACACTAATAATATCTCAAATCTTAATAACATTCATAACTTAAACATTTAAATTCAAACAAATACTAACAATTGTATACATTTTCATATTGACAGGGTAGGACAACAAAAGAAGCAGAATCAGGATAGCAGCAGAATCAGCAACAAAAAAAAAGAAGAAGAATGAGGAAAAAAAAAACAAAAGCAGTACAGGACAGCAAAACCGAAGCAACTATAGAATCAACAAAAAAAAATAGAAGCAGAATAAGCTAAAAAAAAAAACAGAAGCACAATGATCATGACAGGAGCAGAATCAATTGTAAACAATTTCATATGTAATTATATACTGAATAAAAAAAAGCAGAACAGAGGCACATTTCACATGTACTAAAATAATTAAACATGGTATAAGCATAGACCACTTTTTGGTACCATTTGTATATATATAAGAAAAGGAAAAAGTATAACCAAGACATATCAGAGACACTTCTTTGTAGAAGACTCTATTATTTACCCCCATTTCTGATACTCCTGCTTCCTTTCTTTATCATAATTTTGTCATGCAGTCGCCTAACTCCCACATCCCACAAATATTCTAAATGAATTCAGCAACATGAGGAAAAAAAAAGGAATGTGTTTTGTTCGAAACATTGTTTACTAGAAAAAAAAAATAGACCAGCGATAGTCTTAAAAAAAAATTATTAGTGATTAAAAAATAAAAAAGACTACTAACCTGTAATCAAAAAAAAAAAAAAGGAAGCAGAATCGCCTCTTATAATAAAGCGTTCGCTTTTTCGCTATTTTCGTTTTTTCGCTTTTTTCTCGCTTCGCTCACGTTCGCTTCGCCTGAGGTCCTCCGGGCGAGATAAGCTCGCCTCGCCTCGCTTCTCGCCTAGGCGAGCTTTTCAAAACACTGCATATATCAAATCCAAACTTGTGCAAATCTCTCTAGTTATGAGTGCATTCTATCAATTTCAAGGATCGGATTGAGAAACTGAGTAGGGAGTTGCGTGGACCTACAGAAGGTAAACCAAATCTTGAGTTGAAGATTTGACTCGTGGTTGGGTGCTTATGACAGGATGAGGTCCAATAGTTTTTCCCGCAAAAGTTTCCACATAAATTATTCATTTCTCTTAATTGTGTGTTTGCTAATTAGTTAAATAAGGTATTAATTAAGGTCGGCAATCCACTAAAAAGGGTATATCTGCCAAAAGTGAATACTAGAGCTATTCACTCCCCCACCCCCGGCAGGGGTGTTCTAGGTCATATAGTGCAAAACTTAGATAGCATAGACTGCTTTTTAAATAAAACACCCAAATTGTGCCTTTACAGCCCAAGAACTTGTCTAAGAAGTCCAAATACCATAGATTATGCCTAGATGCCTAGGCAACATTAGCACGTGGTGTATTCATTAATACAATTACTAGTAATAAAAAAGCAATTCATATAAGCATCGAATGGATCCTAATTCTGAACAGGATTCCTTTCCCTTTTTTCTTTTGGGCAAAAAATCCTTGCATGAAACCTGTAGAAGAACCATCAGATATCTGAATCCTGAACATGGCTTCGGATAATGAAAAGCCTTTTTTACCTCAACTCAATTGGAGTGGCAGTGAAGTTAGTCAGCATCACAGTTGGAGCATGACAAAAAGATCCAAGCACTGCAATAGCCAACCCACAGAGGAACACAGTGACACCTGTTAAAGACAAAATAAGATCAAAATTTAAAGTGGTGGTCAGAGAAAATCCAAGTTTGTTTCATGCTCCTATGCAAAAGAATTTATTCAACGATGCATTTTTGTTTGTCCAAAATGTTGGCCAATCAGAAAAAACCTTTCTTACAACTATATGAAACGTAATATTTTCTCAGTGACAGCATTAAATGTAAAGCAAATCGGATCAGAGATCCATGGTCCATCTGTTAAATTCCCACCTTCATGTAACGTAATTCACACTGTTCGAGAACCTCAACTGAGATTCAAAATAATGGTGTTTCTTTGATATCAATCACAAACAAAGTCAGAATATTACCCAATAATGGTCATCACAAAGCCATGGTTCAAGGTCGCGGCATCCACAATCGATTCAGAAGGCACAAAGATGCATCAATTGGAGTGTCAAATAATGGTACCAGCTAATACGCAAGAAATGATAGACAGAAGAACCACTTGGACATGACAAGAGATTTTGACTATGTTGTAATATAGCAACACAAAGATGATATGCTGTAAGTAGCATCTGACAACTTGGCAGAGGCAATCAAGAAGTCTCCGTGTCAACCACAAGTTGAGTGAGACAGGTGATTTAAATGGAATGAAGAATGCTACCGGGACAGAAAGTGCTGATTTGATATGACTCGACAGACTCATAATGNTAGCATCTGACAACTTGGCAGAGGCAATCGAGAAGTCTCCGTGTCAACCACAAGTTGAGTGAGACAGGTGATTTAAATGGAATGCAGAATGCTACCGGGACAGAAAGTGCTGATTTGATATGACTCGACAGACTCATAATGGACTAAGCCGATTTTTTGAACCACACATAAAGCTGAGACCGAACGAAGGAAACTTTGAAATTAAATAGTTTAAAAACTGAATTAATTATGTAGATGAAATGTTAGATATTAAAGATGGCTGAAATTGTTACCCTAATATTTTAAGAGATTCCTTCCTAGAAGAAAGAAAACCAACACTAATAATATATTAAGAGCAACAAAACACAGTTTGAGGTCACCAATTGAATTAACTACAACTTTCTTCTTTTTATTTGCTGGGCCTTACATATGATAACACCTGATACCCACATTTTCCTCCTGCACGAACTATCCTGGTTAATAATTAACCAAAATAACTTCGACTAATCAATGTTCTCCATGTTTCAGCCTTTCAGGTTATGGGCTTATGATGAATGGATGAAATAACATTGCCTCATATAAAATACAAATAAATACATGCTAGTAAATCATACAAATATGTTCAAGCAGGAAAATTTTGAAAAGGTTTTTGCCCTCCTTACGTAGGACAGCAGTGAACCAGAACAAAAAAAAAAGCAACATTCAAGGGCTGTGAACAGTACACCGTGAACAGAAACTTTGGGATTGGAAGTGTTAATTGTGGTTTGAGGGATTATTTGGGAAAGGAATAGGGTTTCGTAGACTACCTTTAAGGATATAAAGATCAGTATTTCAGATAAAAAATCCAAAAAATCTAAAACTTACAAAAATTCCCCCAACTCTAAAACACATACTCATACCACTAAACTAATTCAAAGTTAACAAAAATGAGACTCAATGTTGTGACGAGCCTAAGACTTAGCTGTGACTGGGAGAGTGGAGATAGGGGAAATGTAGCCATTTGAGCTATTGTTTTACTGAGACTTTCAGTCTGGGTCATATGTGAGATGAGAGTGTTTTTATTCATTCATGGCCTGAACTAAAGTACTCTTTACTTTTTGTTGTTGACTTTTCCAATTTGTTTACTTTTGTTTGTTTAGTTGGCTTTTTGTTTGTTGTGACATTCTCTTAGTCCTAATTTTGATGTTCTTATCATATTTGACTTTGAGTTGTATGCTTTATTTGTTCCTTACTTACATGATTTGGTTAGTTGATATGCATTCATACCTTCTTGTTATACTATGATTATATGTCATAATTGTTATATGTTGTCATTGAATTGACATTTATAGCAAATAAGATAAGAATATCTTGGGTAACTTGATTTTGAACCATGCTTGTTACCTATTGTCATTGAGTTGACATTTGTGACAAAAAAGGGGAGAAAATCTTAGGTACATATGAGAGGAATCGAGGAGATTTACTCTTGACTAAGCTAAAAATGTTACATAAGAAAATAGAAAGGGGGAGTTTGTTCAATTACTCGGGAGGAGTAAATTTGTAAACTTGTTATGAAGTCACCTATCTTACACTTTGTTTATTTTTCACTTGTTATTTTACTTGTGAACACCGATGAAGGGGGAGAACTTGTAGTGTTTCATATTGATAGATCAATTGGTTTTCAAGCATATTGGATAAGTTCGTTCCTAACATGTTATATATTGGCACATGCATGATGTAAACATACTTATACCCTATGCTTAACTTTGTGTTTTCCAAATCAGTGATTATGTTATGTATTTTTCTAACATATGATATTTTTCATGAGGTTTTGGTTTGAGTGGTGATATGCAGGACTACGATTTTTAAGCTTTATCTAAAGAAGTAGATCTTGTACTTAGATGGAGATTTAGAACGTGTACATGAAATTTGAAATTAGATTTATTGTTCGTTTTGTTCAATGGTTTGTGAGTTGTAATCTTAATTTCTAACTTATGTATTTTATCATGAAATTGCCAAAGAAGAAGATTATTAGATCAATTTGTAAATGGCTAATTTTGTGGAGTCCATTGTAAATCTCAACCTTTTCTATAGTCATGATATTATCAAATTGAAAATCCGAAAGCGTCATCAAAGGAGGAGATCAAGCGTTAAAACATCATTCAACCTCCGTATGCATCTTTATGCTTATGACAAATGAAATGACCGAGACACCTAAGATAAACCCTTAGGATGATTAGGATGAAAATGAAATTGAAAGCAATCCGTGTATGACCCCTAGATTATTTCAAAAGAAAAGATTTTCTAAATTATTTTATATTTTAAAAATATAGATTAAGCCATTATCGGACCCCTCTTGAGCAACACCATTTAGTGCTCAAGAGGACTAGTTTTTCTTGGTTTTGTGCATCAAAAACTAGTAGGAGCCGAACTACACTCACCAGCCTGGGCTAGAGTAGTCTCGTAATGACTTAGGAAATTAGAAGAAAAAAGGGCACAAGGAATAGCATAAAGCTCGCTCTATAAGCTACCTTGAGTAGTCCTTCATGATTGCTCGAGCAGTGCTACTCCTGGACCGGATGGAAACGTGATTTTGATTTCAGTGCTAACCACCCTATGACAGCCCTCCCACCAATTGAGCAGTCGTTCATGACTCTAAGTTTTCTTATTTATTAAGACTGCTTTTATTCTAAACCTATAAATAGGGAGAGCTTNCCTGGACCGGATGGAAACGTGATTTTGATTTCAGTGCTAACCACCCTATGACAGCCCTCCCACCAATCGAGCAGTCGTTCATGACTCTGAGTTTTCTTATTTATTAAGACTGCTTTTATTCTAAACCTATAAATAGGGAGAGCTTTTCCCACAGTTAAGTTAAGTCTCTTTTAAGATTTCTAAGACAGAAAATACTTTTTCTACCTTGAGAGCTTCCACCACTAACGAGATCCCTAAATACAAAGGTTACCACTAGAGATTTTACCTAATCTCAAAACTTGGAGTTATAGATCTTAATGGTTTGACAAACTCATTGGTGTGTGCCTACCGGATATCATTGACGTGCCCATGATTGCTCATGACCTAGACGAACTGTGCAACAAGGAGGTCCAAGTGGAGCTACACTAGTTGTTGAAGGAGGGCCTTTGACGGGAAGACAACAAGGAAAGGAGTATCTAACCATAGTATTGGTTGAGGTATAAGACTTGAGCACTTATACGCTGACTTAGCGAGTAGTGGATTAGACTTTGGTGAACCGAGAAGATTCCCATGATTTTTTCTGATAAGGATTTTTCGCATCAACAAATCACTTGTATTCTTTATTACTTATTGTAATTGATTGTAATCGGTGTCCTATGTTCGTGTAGTGATTGTAACTCCTTTATTCTATATCTTTGACTCTTATCTCTTTTTAACATTACAAAAATAATTCTTCTATTTATAAAGTTATTTGAAAAGTTTTAAAAATTAAAAAAAAAAAAAAAACCCAAAACGCGTTCTCTAACGTGTCGGTCGCGTGTCCAAGAGTGTTGATTGCGTGTCCCCAACATGTCCTACGCTTGTCGGTCACGTGTTCAAGAAAAATAAAACAATATAAAAATCAAAAACTCATTTTAGCATGTCCAACACATATCTTAGTGTGTCCGTGTCCCAAACGTGTCCGACACCGATATTCTGACCAAAATTAAGTGTTTGTGCTTCCCAGACAGAACATATCCTAAATCCAACTATAATTAACCTAAGTTAACCAAAGTAAATTAACTGAGACTACCAAGTCTCTAGGATATTACCTTTACCTAACCGTTGAGGATTGACGAAAGTTTTCAAATATGATTTTGTCGGTTAAAGTTCCATCACGCTCCTTGCTTTTGGTCTTCATTTTCTTAGCACTGTGACAATGGATTTAGTTGAAATATTTACATGTACTAACAAAGTTTGTCCCCCACATAAAATAATTAGGATCATCAATGTTGGTTTGTATACTTAAGAGACCACTTCACTAATTGTCAATTGGTTTTGGGTTGGAAACTCTAACATGGTATTAGAACTAGGTCTTGATTGGTAGGTGGACAAAGTCTCTTACCCATTTAGATTTCCTGGTATGCATAATTGTTTATTTGTTTATATTTTTGTTGACCACATGTACGAGCCAGAGTCTCACGTGAATGAAGGTGTTCTGAGAATTTGTATCCCACGTTAAATAATTTGGACCACCAATGTTGGGTTATATACTTGAGGGGTCGCTCCACTCATCGTCAAAGGGTTAAATGCTCTAACAACATGTGACCTCACAGATTAGCCACTTACAATCAATTTCCTCCACACATATTACTCTTGCTTGAATTCGAACACGAATTTCTTAAAACTGTTCAATAGAAGTTGACTAAATTTGACTGCAATAGTGAGAAAATTTGAAAATCACAAACATACCGCAGATGGGAAAAACTCCCAATGTAATGCCAAGAGCGGCTGAGAATGCCAATTGGTTCGGCTCCGCACCCCTAGTGAAAATATAACATGCTAAAATAAATCAACAACTTAAAAATTAAACATAACAATAAAAAGAAAAACTCACAGCTGATAGAAATTTTCATTCCATACGTTAAAACCAAAATATTTTCATTTCTCAGTTTACAATTTGACCGAAAAACCAAGAGATCACTTCACTCAGTAGGTTCATTCTGAACCGCTTTTTAAAACATCTATTTAAAAAGAAAAAAAAAACCCCGAACCGAATTGTGTTACCAAACCATGTAAGTGACTTTTGAATCACACACTCATGCATACCCACAGATTCGCCTGTGGACAAGGCTCCTGCCTAGTTCTAGGATATACAACGAATTAGTGTCTGGTGCATAGGTAAAAATGTTGGCTGACGACAGCGAAAATGTGGTTTTGACTATAAGGGCAGTCTTTCTACCAATAATGGCAGCGGATTAGGTGCCCAAGTTCACCTTCCGCGCATGCTTAAGAATGGAGGATCAAACTAGATAAACACATACATATTTGTAAGAATGGACATTACATGGCATAGACCTTGTTGAAATCTGAATAAAACTAAATGCAAAATTACCAAGTAGTGTGTGTTTGAGTGTGCGCACGCGGGTGTGTATATATATATATATAATAGCAAATACCTGCGGAGGATTTGAAGAAGGGGATCAACAATCCTTTTGTGAAACCAGGGTCCCAATCCAACTCCAATCTTTTTAAGCATATTCGATATTTTTTCTGCTATTTGAACTAATTCTTCTGAAAATTGCGATGCGAATTTGTTGGTTCAAGAATTTGAATGGGGTGTGTATGCGCAGCTGGGGTTTTGTTGGCGGTGGGTCGTTACTTCACAGAATCTCTGAATTAATCTCTGTCTACTCTCTTCTGACACCAAATTTAATTCGAAAAAGAAAGCATCGGAAATTGAATTCAATTCTCCGCAGAATCTTTTTGTTTATTATGGATTGAGGAAAAATTGCATTTATTGTGTTGGCAATATCGGATCGTTTTGATTGCACGGGGAAGAGAGAATGCGACTCCCGCAAAGAAGTCCAGATTACGATTTTTTTTGGGTAAAACACATAAATGATCCCTGAATTTTAGACTTAGTTTTAAATTATATCCTAAACTTTCAAAATTTTTAATGTACCCTTGAACTATGTAAATCATTTTAGTCTGGTCTGTTAGATTCTGGTGATAAATAGGGATAAAACCCTAACATTAGCAGTTGGTGGAGGACATTTTAGTCCATTCAAGTAATATGTATAATTGGGTTGAAGAAAGGGCACCAAAACTCTCTCCTAAATAGTCTCTCCTATANTAAAAAAAAATAAAAAAAACCCAAAACGCATTCTCTAACGTGTCGGTCGCGTGTCCAAGAGTGTTGATTGCGTGTCCCCAACATGTCCTACACTTGTCGGTCACGTGTTCAAGAAAAATAAAACAATAAAAAAATCAAAAACTCATTTTAGCATGTCCAACACATATCTTAGTGTGTCCGTGTCCCAAACGTGTCCGACACCGATATTCTGACCAAAATTAAGTGTTTGTGCTTCCCAGACAGAACATATCCTAAATCCAACTATAATTAACCTAAGTTAACCAAAGTAAATTAACTGAGACTACCAAGTCTCTAGGATATTACCTTTACCTAACCGTTGAGGATTGACGAAAGTTTTCAAATATGATTTTGTCGGTTAAAGTTTCATCACGCTCCTTGCTTTTGGTCTTCATCTTCTTAGCACTGTGACAATGGATTTAGTTGAAATATTTACATGTACTAACAAAGTTTGTCCCCCACATAAAATAATTAGGATCATCAATGTTGGTTTGTATACTTAAGAGACCACTTCACTAATTGTCAATTGGTTTTGGGTTGGAAACTCTAACATGGTATTAGAACTAGGTCTTGATTGGTAGGTGGACAAAGTCTCTTACCCATTTAGATTTCCTGGTATGCATAATTGTTTATTTGTTTATATTTTTGTTGACCACATGTACGAGCCAGAGTCTCACGTGAATGAAGGTGTTCTGAGAATTTGTATCCCACGTTAAATAATTTGGACCACCAATGTTGGGTTATATACTTGAGGGGTCGCTCCACTCATCGTCAAAGGGTTAAATGCTCTAACAACATGTGACCTCACAGATTAGCCACTTACAATCAATTTCCTCCACACATATTACTCTTGCTTGAATTCGAACACGAATTTCTTAAAACTGTTCAATAGAAGTTGACTAAATTTGACTGCAATAGTGAGAAAATTTGAAAATCACAAACATACCGCAGATGGGAAAAACTCCCAATGTAATGCCAAGAGCGGCTGAGAATGCCAACTGGTTCGGCTCCGCACCCCTAGTGAAAATATAACATGCTAAAATAAATCAACAACTTAAAAATTAAACATAACAATAAAAAGAAAAACTCACAGCTGATAGAAATTTTCATTCCATACGTTAAAACCAAAATATTTTCATTTCTCAATTTACAATTTGACCGAAAAACCAAGAGATCACTTCACTCAGTAGGTTCATTCTGAACCGCTTTTTAAAACATCTATTTAAAAAGAAAAAAAAAACCCCGAACCGAATTGTGTTACCAAACCATGTAAGTGACTTTTGAATCACACACTCATGCATACCCACAGATTCGCCTGTGGACAAGGCTCCTGCCTAGTTCTAGGATATACAACGAATTAGTGTCTGGTGCATAGGTAAAAATGTTGGCTGACGACAGCGAAAATGTGGTTTTGACTATAAGGGCAGTCTTTCTACCAATAATGGCAGCGGATTAGGTGCCCAAGTTCACCTTCCGCGCATGCTTAAGAATGGAGGATCAAACTAGATAAACACATACATATTTGTAAGAATGGACATTACATGGCATAGACCTTGTTGAAATCTGAATAAAACTAAATGCAAAATTACCAAGTAGTGTGTGTTTGAGTGTGCGCACGCGGGTGTGTATATATATATATATAATAGCAAATACCTGCGGAGGATTTGAAGAAGGGGATCAACAATCCTTTTGTGAAACCAGGGTCCCAATCCAACTCCAATCTTTTTAAGCATATTCGATATTTTTTCTGCTATTTGAACTAATTCTTCTGAAAATTGCGATGCGAATTTGTTGGTTCAAGAATTTGAATGGGGTGTGTATGCGCAGCTGGGGTTTTGTTGGCGGTGGGTCGTTACTTCACAGAATCTCTGAATTAATCTCTGTCTACTCTCTTCTGACACCAAATTTAATTCGAAAAAGAAAGCATCGGAAATTGAATTCAATTCTCCGCAGAATCTTTTTGTTTATTATAGATTGAGGAAAAATTGCATTTATTGTGTTGGCAATATCGGATCGTTTTGATTGCACGGGGAAGAGAGAATGCGACTCCCGCAAAGAAGTCCAGATTACGATTTTTTTTGGGTAAAACACATAAATGATCCCTGAATTTTAGACTTAGTTTTAAATTATATCCTAAACTTTCAAAATTTTTAATGTACCCTTGAACTATGTAAATCATTTTAGTCTGATCTGTTAGATTCTGGTGTTAAATAGGGATAAAACCCTAACATTAGCAGTTGGTGGAGGGCATTTTAGTCCATTCAAGTAATATATATAATTGGGTTGAAGAAAGGGCACCAAAACTCTCTCCTAAATAGTCTCTCCTATATCTACCAAATCTTTCATCTTCTCAGATATGTATCTCATACCAGACTCCCAAATCCTTCATCTTGATCCCATGCCTGACTCTCAAATCGCTCATCTCTCTCCTAGATCTGCAACCCATACATACTTAGATCGTCCATCTCCTTCCCATTTATTGATTTGAGGACACTAGAATGACTTAGTTATTGTGGATAATCGGTATTATCTTCCATCCATAACAGTTNACCCCATACATACTTAGACCGTCCATCTCCTTCCCATTTATTGATTTGAGGAAACTAGAATGACTTAGTTATTGTGGATAATCGGTATTATCTTCCATCCATAACAGTTTATTGTAAGTGATCTCTCACTCATACATGCAATTTATTTTCTTTTTTTGTAAAACTCATATCCGCAATTTTGTAGATTCGGACATATGGGTGTTGGATATTGGACTAAATTTTGTCGCCTTGGTTGTTGCATGTAAATTTGGTAGTGTTGGGTGTTGGAGTAATTTTGAATTTCTATAATGTAGTACAATTTTTTGGGTTGTTGTACACATTATTTTGTATCCAATTTTTACTGTAATTGAAATAATTGAGATAAAAAAATTATGAAACTTACCATGGAGATTCTGAATTCCATGGTATCCAGTGTTGGAGTAATTATGAATTCCTTTCTCTCGCTCACCACGACAATTAACTGGACTAAATAGAGCCACTTGTTTTTTTTTTTTTTTTAGCATAGCCACTTGTTCTTTGCTGTGATGGGTGTAATGTAAAAAGGAGAATGAGAGGGAAATTTTGGTGTCTTTTCTTCAAACCAACTATACATATTACCTTTGAGGGCTTTGCTGGATGGGTTACTGCTAGTGGAGAAGTATGGGATTCCAATGTATAAGCTTCATATTGAAGCTTATTCGAAGGTGATGATGGTACAGATGGTTTTGAAAGGACATCTCAGGGCTTGGAAATTTTGAGGGTTGTTGAGGCGAATTTTGGAGGTGTTAGGGAGGGTGGATTCCAGTTTGTCTCATGCTTACAGGGAATCTGATTTAGTGGCTGATTATTTTGCTAATAGAGTTATATAAGACAGAGCTTCGATTGATTTTTCTTATGCTATGGATTTTCCTCTTCAAGCTAAACTATTGTTGATGCATTATTAGAGAGGGGGTCAAGGTATTGAGGAAGAAGACAGTGCTTAGCTCTTGAGTTTTAATGTTTGTACAGTCTTGTTTTGGTTGTTCTGTGATTGTAGAGTTATACTCCTTGATTTTATAATTGTTTTGAGAATGAAATAAAATGGTCCCGAGTTTTTTTCTTAAAAAAAAAACTATACATATTACGTTAATAGACTAAAATACCCTCCACCAATTGCCAACGTTAGGGGTTTCATCCCCATTTAACATCAGAATCTAATAAAAGGACTTGATTAAAACGATTTACATAGTTTAGGGGATACATTAATAAATTTGAAAGTTTATGGTGCAATTTAAAACTAAGACTAAAGTTCAGGGTTATTTATGTGGTTTAACCATTTTTTTTTTTTGGGTTAAACTACCAAAACCCGTGCATCCACGAAAATGTACAAATCGGGTGAAATTTTTTTTTTGCAATGGTACATGGATCTTATTTAGTGATCATATCATTATATTGACAGTAGACTTCATTATTAGTTGGGATTCACGATTAATAAAATTACNTGGTTAAACTACCAAAACCCGTGCATCCACGAAAATGTACAAATCGGGCGAAATTTTTTTTTTGCAATGGTACATGGATCTTATTTAGTGATCATATCATTTTATATCATTATATTGACAGTAGACTTCATTATTAGTTGGGATTCACGATTAATAAAATTACTATAATCACCAAATAAGGTCACTACATTACATATAAAAAAACATTTTTCTAACATTTTATATTCCATTTGTCCTAGTAGATCATTGCAATATTTTTTCACTCACATATTGGACTAATGTTGATCTTGTGCAAAACCTCATTTCCACATAAAGGGGTAAATTTATAGACGATGGCTCCATTTCTCGATTTGTGCGTGTTATCCTTACGCAGGAGTTATGCTAATCTTCTCTGTATCGTTCAAATTTTATAGACAATGGGACTAAGGGTCTATGTTTCGTGAGATATTCAAACTCATTGTTGAGACTTTATTATTTGNTCCATTTGTCCTAGTAGATCATTGCAATATTTTTTCACTCACATACTGGACTAATGTTGATCTTGTGCAAAACCTCATTTCCACATAAAGGGGTAAATTTATAGACGATGGCTCCATTTCTCAATTTGTGCGTGTTATCCTTACGCAGGAGTTATGCTAATCTTCTCTGTATTGTTCAAATTTTATAGACAATGGGCCTAAGGGTCTATGTTTCGTGAGATATTCAAACTCATTGTTGAGACTTTATTATTTGATTGAATAATTGATTTGTTGGATAATTGAGACAATTAATAGTTAAGATTATTAGGAAAAAAACACTATTGAAGAGATATAACCATTAGAAAAAGATACCTTTTTATAAGGGTCGTGGCTTTTAAGGAAAAGACACATATTTGGTGGATTAAAACTTTTGAGAAAGACCCTAAGAATTCTATAAAAAGGCACTAGAATTCATTGAAAAAGCATTAGAGTTCTATAGAATTCATCTCTCTTCTTTTCTCTCTGTCTGTCTCAAATTTAAAACTGTTCAAAAATATTTCTTTGGAAGTTCTTCAAGATTGTTAATTGTAGTTCTTCATCTAAAGGCTTTATTGTATCCTGGAAGTGATTTGTCAAGAAACCTCTAGCAAACTCTTTGAGTGAAGACAAAATATCACTTTAAAGAAAATAATCTTACCTGTCTCAAAGTCTTGATGTTACTTTCAATATACTTGACATAATTTCCCAACAATTTTGAAGTGATATTTGCAATGACTATTGAATCAAGTGTTACGTTCAAAGTCATAAATTAAGACTTTGTGAAATTGGATCGTTTGGATGGAACGAATTTCACTCGTTGGAAAGGACAAGATGATGTTTCTTCTCATTTCGTTGAAGCTTGCTTATGTATTAGATCTAAAGCTGCAACCTATTCCCCCCAAAAAAATAAAATTGAAGACACTGATCAGGTTAAGAAAGAATGAAAGAAGTTAAAGGAAGATAAATTTGTCTGTCGAGACTATATTTTGAACACATTGTCCGATCAATTGTATGGTATCTATGTATCATTGAAGTCTCCACATGAAATTTGGAATACACGGAAACAAAAATGTATGTTTGAGAAGCAAGGTACAAACAAATATCTAATTATGAAATATTTTGAGTTTAAGATGATTGATAACATACTCATCATGGATCAAGTGTATTGTTGTTCTAGGAGGGGAACCCGAAGTGGATCTTTTATCATGATTATACATGTAGAGACCAAGATACTTAACCTAGAGGGGCTGAATAGATTTTTTGATTTTAGCCCAAATTAATTACAAATTAAAATATATGTCTACCCCAATTATCTCTTCTCACAAATATGAAGCAATGAATGTAAGAACCCCTTTAGTCACCACAACCCTTAATACACATGATGATTGATTAAATTGATATTCAATTAATCCACTCATAAGCAATCTCATATCGATCCCAAGAAGCCCACAAACCTAATTGCACAACTATGGATGATATTGATATCAAGTAATCAAAATATCAAATATATA